TGGGTACAAAGAACCTCTCTCTAGTTGCTTACGGCATTTTAAATATCTGCTTATTCATGTGTTCATCAAGAATTTATTGAGCACCAATAGTTTGATGTGTGAGACCACAGACTAGAGCCAGACTGACAGGACTCAGTTCTCAGCTCTGTGTGCATTTGCTGTCTGGATGTGGACACCTTAGTTAATTCTCTGAATCTTGTTTTCCTCATCTGTAAATTAGCATAATACAATACTTCCCTTATAGGTTTATTATAAAGATTGAAATGCTTAGAGTTCTAGTGTCTGGCTAGAAGTAGGTACAGAAGCTGTGGGAAGGTAAAAGAGATGTAGACTGATATTCAGAGCTGCCTGGTGGGAAATACAAGAAAAAACTTCTAGAGGTGATCCTTGACCTGAGTCTTAAAAAACAAGAGAGAGGGAGACAGGACATTTCATAAAGCAGAGTAAAGATATATATTACACAATGGAAGGAAAACGGAACATATTTTTAGAGTTTTCCAATACCATGGCTGAAAGGGCTACTTTACATGAGATTTTGGGTTAAAATTGAACAAAGCTATTTGGATGAATGGCTATTGCTCCTCAAAGAATCTTTCTTTACAAGTTTCTTCTCAGCAAACTGATTTCTTGATAGAAAAGACAGTATGCTTTTATTGAGTTTTTAGTTCCAAGCTTCTATAATACTGTTTGGTGCATAGCATACATCCAAATTTACCGCCTCCCCCCCTAAAAAAATAGCTAGTATGACTGAAGTATAGGGTCTATAGAGGGCATGGCTTGATATTGATCAATATGAGTTTTGGTTTCTTTAAAGGCATTTTTAAGCAGAGGAGACTGTTTACTTCAGTTTTTTACATTAATTTTTATTAAAGGTTACTAATTTAAAAATTCAGCTCTTTCTTAAGCATTGTTTAGTTTACAAATCTTATTCTAAGCCTAGCAAATTTTAGTAATAACTTTTAAGAAGGTTTTTTTGTTCCAATTACAAACAAATTTATTTAATTAAAGCTTAATATATTCTATTTCTTAAGCCAGGTATGGCATTGCATCCCTGTAGCCTCAGCTACTTGGGAGTCTGGGCTCACTTGAGCCCAGAAGTTTGAGACCAACTTAGGGAACATAGCAAGATGTGTGTGTGTGTGTGTGTGTGTTTACCACTGAGCTACATCCCCAACCCTTTTTTAAATTTTGAGATAGGGTCTCCCTAAGTTGCCTGGGCTGGGCTTGCCTTAGCCTCCTGAGTAGCTAGAATTACAGATGTGAACCACTGTACCCAGATTTCTTTAAGTACGTCAATGTTGAACAATAAACCTTGCTACTTTTCTAAATAATTCTTATAAATATTATATCAAGGACTGAGTATATAGTTTCATGATAGAACATTTGCCAAGCATACATAGGGGCCCTGGCTTCAATCCCCAGCACCACAAAAAATAATCATGTCCAACTTTTAAATACATGAACCTTGAGTTTTCTTAAATAAATGTCCTAAAACTATATATAAAGATTTTGGCTTAAAATTACAACCCATAAGCAATTACACTTGGAGGGAGGTACTGAACCCAGGACCTTCACACTGAGCTACATCTCCAGCCCTTTTGAATTTTGAGACAGAGTCTTGCTAAAGTGCTAAGTTACCCAAGCTAACCTCAAACTTGTGATCCTTGTGTCATCCTCCCAGAGTGCTAGGATTACAGGCACCAAATGGCAAAACTGACCTGTTACTCTAACAGGCCAAATTCTCTTAAATATGCAAATGAATAAAATACCAACTATTCAGCTGGGCATGGTGGTACATGCCTGCAATTCCAGCACTCTAAGCTGCTCAGGGCCTTTGCTCTTACTGTGTCCTGGCGTGTGCTTTCTTCAGTGACTGACGTGGCTCTTCCCTCACTTCCCCACAGATCTTTAGTTAAAATCACTTCAGCAAATTGTTCTCACCTACTTAGCAATCTCACCTCCTACTACTTTTCTCCTGGGCATCTTTCTCTGCTTTCTTTGTTCTCAAAACATCACAAGGCTACTTCAACCTTTTCTTGAGCCATTTCTTCTGCCTAGACTCTTTCCCCTAGATCTTCACATTATCAACATTTTTGTCATAATTAGTTCAAATGTCATTTCATGGGACTAAGGGAGTGGCTCAGAGGCAGAATGGTTGCCTAACATGCACAGGGTTTGAGTTCAGTACTCACTCTGTCCAGTAGTATTTGCAGAGCCCACGGTAGGTGTTCAGTAAATGAATAATCAAAGGTGGATGATAAAATGGACTGTAATGAAAGCTGTAACCTTGGAGATAAGAAGGAGGATGCTGACAAGAAAGACTTTAAAGAAGTGGGCCTGACTGTGAACTTCACAAGGGCAGAGTTTTATTTATAAATACCACCCAAACATTGGCCCTTCTTACCCACAGATGCCTAAATGCTGGTTCCATGAAGAGGTGAAATTAGCGAGTTTCAATGACCCCATAGATATGGAGGATAAAAGAGGAATGGGCCATTGCATTTCCGGCTCAGCCTACTGTGTGAATATTCCAATGGTGCCGTCCATTGGGTTATAGGAGGGAGGAAGATGAGCAGATTTGCAGGAGGCAATAGAGAATAATTTATCTTGGGATGTTGAGTTTGAAATGCTTAAGGGATATCCCAAAGGAAGAGTGTAGTAGGCAGGTGGATGTGCAGACCTAGGATTCTGGAGCAAGATATGAATCCTCAGCACAGACAGAATGGTGATTCTATGGGCAAAGACCACATCACCACTGAGAGGGTAACACAGAGAGAGAGAGCTGAGAGGGTCATCTCTGACATTTCCAAGCCAGCAGAGGAGGGCCCGGGAAGGAGAAGTATCTACAGACAGACAGACAGGTGGTCAGAGCTTGGGTCAGAACAGAACTAAAACACTAGGAGAAAAGAGCCAACTGCCACATGCTACAGAGAGGTTAAGTACAGCAAGAAGGACACAAGGTACTCCGGGTTCCAGTTACGGCTCCGGTGAGAGGAGTTTCGGTGGGAGGTGAAGAGAAACGACAGGTAGGTGGGGATTAGGAACTGTAAGGTTGGCAAAAATGTGAGACCTGGCTGAGAAAGGAAAGAGAGGAAGTGGCCATAGGACAGAGGGCCAAGCCAGCTGTTCCAGACATTTTTTTCCTCCCATCATCCACTCTCTGCCCCCTTTCCTACCCACTGCCTGTACCCACCACTTGCTCTTAGAAAACTATTTCCAGATTACTAAAAAAAAGTAAGGCCAGCAGGAAGAATAGAGGTCTCCAATGAAGAATGACTCCATACCCACAGAAGTAGCACATTCATTTACAGATCTCAAAATCTCACACCTCCCTGTACCTTAAGTCACCAGATCTCCCTCTCAGATCTGCGAAAAGGTGCCCTCCTCCTCATAATCTTCACCTTTAACAAGGAAGATAGCAGGAGGGGTAAGACCAGAATCTTTTAGAATCAGGATGCTACAATAGTCACTCATTCATTTCTTTATTCAGCCAACAGTATTGAGCGCTTGCTCAACAGCTCAGTAGCTTACTCCTAACCCTGAGCTGGGAATAGTTCTTTGGAAAGACAGCCCCAGTTCTTCAGGGACCTCAGACTAGTTGAGAAGGTAGACGGGTCCAGAGTCACACCCCCAGCTGAGATACCATGATGGGAGAAGACTGGGAGCCCCAGGAGATCCCGGTGGAGGCCTCTAACTGCAGCAAGGCCAGGGAGCCTTCCCCACATAACTACATGCACAGTGAGAACAAAGTACCATATCTGGGGCCCATCCCTCCTTATTTTATGGTCACCTGGTTCTTTCCTTCATCTTCATGAGGTTATAAATTCCCTGACAGCCCCTATAGCTTTATTAATCTATTTTTCTTTCATCATACCAGGAACTTATAAATAGGTGAGCATCAAATATTAGTGAAGTTAATGAATGTATATTAGTAAAGATCAAGAGAAGATCTAGAGTGATTTAATTAGACTTCAGTATTTTAAATAACAATGGGTGTGGTTTATTGAATATTTATTATGGTAGGTATTGTGTTGAGCAGTATATAATTTATATTATTTCATCTTCACAGAAACCTTATTTATAAGACATAGGTGTATTAACAATCTTTTTGTTATACATTACAAAAACTATATTGTTGAAAATATGCGAAGGGCTGGGGATGTAGCTCAGTGGCAGAGAACTTGCCTAGCATGTGTAAGGCCCTGGGTTCAGTCCCCAGTACTTCAAGACAAATTGGTCAACCAAGGTAACACAGCTAATATGGGGGGGGAGGCCAAGATTTGAGTCCACATAATCCTTCTCCAGAGCTAAGGCTCAGTCTCTGTGTGACATTACAAGAGAGCCCTTCAAGAAAGCCCTTCTGGAAAGTTAAATTGATAATAACTTTTTTAAAAATCTGCAAATTTGAGCCTTGTTTCATATTTTTTAAGTTAAGCTAGTCCCACTCAAGGTTCTTGTACCATCATACATGTATTATATTAATACTGTGTATCTATCTACTATGACATCTATCATGTTCTGCTTTTTCATTTGTTCTGTGTATGACTTATTCCCATATTACACTGGATATCCTTTAGATGCAATGACTTTATCTTCATAACAAATCAGTACAACAGCCTGCATTTTAGTAGATACTCAGTACACTTTTGCCAAAATAAATGTACTATTGTGTCACCATTATGGCAAAGTTTTTTTTCACTTTTGACCAATAAAAATGTTTTCCACTTTAATCATTCTATCCCTCAACTGTGCTTGAAGAGGTGTTTGTACATCAAGGATCAGAAAGGGGGTCACAACAACTACTCTGTGTAAAATACTATATTGGGCCATCTCTCTTTACATGTTCTCATTTAACCTTTATAATAGCCATATGGAGTGAGAGGTATTGTCCAAGTCTAAGAGGTGAGAGAATTTTTTGAAGGATCACTCAGGTGTACACTATAGAGTTGGTGTTAAAATGTCAGTACGTTTCATGGCAAGTCTTTCTGTGCACCACATAGATGGCTGACCCTGGGGAAAGAAACTATGACAACATGCTGAGAATGCTGTCAGACCTGAATAAGGACTTGGAAAAGCTATTGGAAGAGATGGAAAAAATATCAGGTAGGATATTTTTCCAGACAGAATGGCTTCCCCCTCTTTCCAATAGTACAAATATTCCCTAAACTTCTGAGCTGATGTCAAGTATCTTCTAATAAGGCCTTCCCTCACCTCCTTTTAACTTTTGTGGCAGGTAACTCATATACCACAAAATTTGATACTTACCACTGAATTGCCTTGAATTATCTTCTGCGTATTCACCTCTTGTTTCTGCAATTGGACTGTTTTCTTCTTGAGGGCAGAAATAATGACGTGCAATTGGCACAGTCCCAGACAGTAGTTCCCATGCTCAGCAAATGACAGTCACAGGTGAGAATGGCAACTGTGAACAGAACTGGAACATTCTTTCCATAAATCACTGAAATAGAAGTGGTTCAAAGTAATAGTGCTAAGATTAGAGGTATTGAAAGGGGAGGTCAGGCTCACTGGAAAAAGCAATAGGATTGAGCAAATTTCTCCATTTTTGGAAAGGAATGCTAGTTTTTGGTGCTATTCAACATGTTTCCAGCTCAGCAGTGGTACCAACACCACTTCTTTCATTTTTTTTTTTTTTTTGGTACCTGAGATCGAACTTGGGACCTTGCACTTATGAGGCAGGAGGTGGCACCACTGAGCTAAATCCCCAGCCCTCATTTTTTTTTATTAATTCAGAATAAGTATAATTCTTACAGTTTATGAGTCCAAGTTTTGCTAGAGAAAATAATATTGTAAAACAAAGTTTAGAAGGCATGTATATTTTACTCATATGAAAACAAACTGATATTATTCATGTGTAACTAATCTTCATTCATTGTAGCAGCCTCTATAAAATTCCTACTTATGTATGTTTGCAGAATTTGCCTGGGTATTTGAAGGTTTTATTTTTAAAACTACATTTTTCAAAAATGTTGATAATTTGCTGAGCATGGTGACACACCTGTTATCCCAGCACTCGGGAGGCTGAGGCAGTAGGATCAGTGAGAGTTCAAGGCCAGCCTGAGCTACATAGTGAGTTCAAAACCAGCCTGAACTACATAGTGAGACCCTGTCTCAAAAAAAATAGTTTGATAATTCATCTCCACTATAAACTATATAACTCCTTCAACCCAATTATATGTTTCCTTATTTGACAGCAGCTACTGAGTGTCTTCCATGTGTCATTCTAGGAATGTAAAGCTGAATATAGAATTTCTTTCTTAGACTCGGGTGGAGGCCAGAACCAGACATCAAGATGCTAGCTATAATTTAAATATATATATTAAAATCAAAACCTTTTCATTTGGCAAATGGTAATAATGTTTTACAATGAGAGTGAGTGCTGAAGAGGAGCAGAAGAGGAGCAGCTGGTGCCTGGGAAAGTCAGTGAGCTTGGTGGCATCAGGGTTAGGGAAGAAATGGGACTGGGTTGTAGGGTGGAGATGAAGGACAGGAACTGCACCAGAAGATGACATGGACAGGCAGCACCAGATTGGCACTGAGGTGACAGGCCATAGAAGAAGCTGGAAAAGTGAGAGGCGCCTTCAGTGCCAGGCTAAGGACGTTTACCTTACTCATCTAGGTGACAGGGAGCTGCTCCAAGTTTTCAAACATTTGCACCTTAGAAAAATGTCTCTGAAAAAAAATGTCTCTGAAGAGAGTGAGAGATGCTTTGGAGAGAGAAAACCAGGGGCAGAAACACAAACTAGGAAGCTTTTGTAGAATTGACGGCTCAAAGGAATTAACCTGAATCTAGGCTTGACACCAACCATAAGAAGGGAATGTCAGGTTTCCGTGATAGAATCTTTTCTTGATTTGTATGAAGTCTTCATGTATTAAGGCTGTGAAGCCTTTCTTAACTTTGTAGTAAACATTTTCCCCAGTTATTTCCCTTTCAATTTTGTTTATGAGACTCTGATGAACAGAAACCTTACCCAGTAAAAATCTATCAATAGTTCCCTTTCTAGTTTATTCTCATTACTTTGATGCTTATAAAGCCTTTTCCTAAATCGAGACCAGTGAAATATTCACCTATATTGTTCCCTACTTCCTCTGTGGGCTCATTTGTTTGGCCTTCAGAATGAGCTACATTCCCAACCCTTTTTTATTTTTACCTTTTTAAAAAAATTTTTGAGACGGGGGCCCAGGATTTAGCTCAGTAGCACTGTGCCTGCCTTGCAAGCACAAGGTCCTGAGTTTGATCCCCGATACAATAAAAAAATTTTGAGACAGGGTTTCCCTAAGCCACTAAATTGCCCGAGATGGACTCAAACTTGTCATCTTCCCGCCTCAGCCTCCCACAGTGCTAGGGTTACAGCCAGGCGCTACCATGCCCAGCTCTGTGTTTCTTTTTGCCATTTAATTCTAGTCCATCTTGTGTGCCAAAGGATCTAGGCTAGACTATAGTATTGTATTTTTCTAGAAATCTACTAGAGATTCTCTTTTTGGGAAAGAATTCATTTCAACAATAATTAAGGTAACAGTTAAGTAAGGTATTGAGTAACAACAGTTAAGATAGTTTATATTACAAAGGCAGTAGTGTTATAAAAATAGCTTCTTAGGTCAGGAATAAAGTTGACTGGTGTTATAGCTATGTAGACTCATTGGACAGTTTTTTTAAGTTTAAGTCTTCTAAGTAAGTTTAAAGTTATCAGACACAGGTAAGTATTGTATTTAAGCAGGTACATGTCTTGGCTTTTGTACTTTCTTTCTCACAGTAATAAAACAAGCTTAGCCCATTCCCACTTGGCCCAAATGAGGCATGTGGTGTGCACAATTCCGTACCCTCCATCAGTGCTTCCCCACATCAGAGTCCTTGAACTCATGCCAGGTCTATTTCCTATTTATTTATTTATTTTTATTATTATTTCTTTTTGAGACAGGTTCTCTGTATGCATTCTAGGCTGGCTTTAACTCTGTGTAGCCAGGCTGACCTCGAACTTACAGAAGTTGTCCTGCCTCAGTTCCCTGAGTGCTGGGATTACTGGCATGCACCACAATGCCTGACTGATTATTTACCTTTTAATAGATTCTTTCCTTAGTTTTAGTTTCATGTGTTTTCCTCTTTTTATAATTCTGCTTTTTTTTTTTTTTTT